GGATTTGAACCCACGACCCTCAAATCCCATCCGGAAACTCGATTTTTTAAATTGTTTATTTTCATTTCTACACGCTCACTTTGGAGGTTGGTTGGCTGCATGTGATGCTTTAATGCATGTGATGCTTTAATGTGACAGCGTGATGCTGTTAGTGAGCTTCTATGCGCTAGCTGATGTTTGGCTGTGTAGCCGCGTGATGCGGTTCCAGTCAATACCCACTAATTGACCCTTGCTCACCATAGAGTCTCCTGTAGCTCAGTGGTTAGAGCATCCGACTAGATCACGGAGGGTCGTGGGTTCAAATCCCATCCGGAAACTCGATTTTTTAAATTGTTTATTTTCATTTCTACACGCTCACTTTGGAGGATGGTTGGCTGCATGTGATGCTTTAATGCATGTGATGCTTTAATGTGACAGCGTGATGCTGTTAGTGAGCTTCNAACAATAGGCCGAGGAGGCCTGCAGGCTAGTTTAGGTGTTCGCCATATTGGAGCAAATTGTAGACAACACATGTCTGAAACATTGAGCCCTTACCAAAAACAATGTGCACTTTAAAACTTTTGCCAGATGAGGATAATTTTTACTCGTATTGACCAATCAGAGCGCTTAGTTTCTTCCAGTTTAATTACCGTCGGGTAAGGTTTATCCTACTGGGGTAAACTTATCGTTAGCAATTAATATTCGCTCAATAGAGCCCCTCTATGGACTGCATCCAAACAAAATAATTACATTCATTCAATTGTTCCTTCTTAGAATTTCGCGATTTGGAGTTAAAAAAGGTTCAAAACCGATCAACTCACATCAAGGATGGCGAGCGTTTGGATTCGTCGGCACTCGAAAATTGAGGGAGTTACTACATCACGCGCGAAGAGCGGTGCAAGTAAAAGGAATCCGAGATATGAGAGGTCAGCGGTGAAATAGCTTTAATACATCATGTAGAGACAAACCATTTGTAGTTGTTTGATTAAATAGTCACGGTATCAATTCAGAAATGTTACCGCTAAACTTGGCTAAATAACAAGTTAAGCAATTTTTCAAAAGCGTCGACTATACAAATATCTTTCACTGCTCTAATAAGCAACGAAAGCATCGGGAAAGACATCAAAAAATTCTATTTTTGCTTGGTAACTTGCTACGCGACGAAAAGTAAGTATCGTGACTTCGGTTGTCTAAGGCGTTAATCACAGCTGGCGGGCTTTTCACTTGATTTTTTCCATCTCTACTTTTTTTTCGGGAAATGAAAGCTAGGGAACTCTGCGATAATTGAGTTCTCGATCTGATTGATTTTGGAGTCTATAATAAGTTTGTATCCACAGGCTAAACTTTTATAACAAAATTCTACTAGCTGAAGTTCTCTTACTTCATATTATATATAATCAATCGCCTCCATTCCATGTGAAAATATGCAAGGAGGAGAACTCAGAGCTTCAAGAAACAGCCAAGTCAAGGCTAATGTGTTTACCATCCCTCATATGCTTCTGATGAAGGCCGCTCGTTTTTGGAGACCTGTTCTCAAAACAACCGTATGTTAAAATAGTTATGTTTGCCGTTCAAACTTTTTCTTTCTATTCCCTTTAACAGATGCACTCTGGATGAAAACTAAACGTAATAGAACAAAAAGAAAACATTTTGAATTCGGAGATGTTCTTCATATTGTTGGCTCCATCGCGTTATGATTTTGGACCAGTGACACTCCGAATATATTTTGATTGATTACCAAGAACTGCATTCGTTATCCTGGTAGATTAAGGTCTATACGTGACATCAAAGTCCACTTGATCTGAAAAGAAGCCGCCCTAACCGCAAGTGAAATGTTGTGTAAGCGTCTCTGCGAAAGGCGCATTCAGACAACTTGCGTGGAAAAACTGGCTTGTCATATACTTTTGTTAACTATTTATTTCTGTATAGAAGACGGAAATCAATGACTGATTTAGAGGTAAGAAATGGGCTGCATGGACGAAGCAAATAATTACCTTAGGATCTTAATCTTCACAACACGACCCAACTGATGAACTTTACAGTAAATAAAGTGCTGCAAGCTAAAATCCACTTTTACTCGGATATAAGATCGTGCCCATACACTTGCACGCCATTTTTCTGTAAGGACATTGCAATAAAGATGAAACACTGATTCATACATTTCGTGGAAGCTCCTCTACAGACTTTTCATCAAAAATTAATGATAAATGTAGTAAAACTAAAGAAAGCGTGACCCTAGCGTATTGAAACGTGACCTGTCATCCTAAATTTAAGAATAGATTAATTACTAGATTATTGTAAGGCAGAAATATTATCTTTGTAACATGCACAAATATGCAAATTGTAGTATTTACCTAACTCCTGCTCTGTTAAGAGGGTAGAACAAAGTATTCTTTTCCCGTTTGAATTAAGGTGTTTACTCGAAAGGAAACTACATGCCTTCCCTCGCATATCTAATCACTTAAAAACTAGCCACCAATATGTATATAAGCACTTTGGTTAAGCAAACAAAGTTAGATGTAATCAGGAATAGAGTGTGAGCGAGTCAGACTCTTCGTGTGTAATCATGGGTGTACTGTATCGAAGGGTGAAGTAGTAAGGAACCGAAATTCCCGTCTGCACGGTCTGCATGGTCTGCAGTCTGCGTTTTAACATGACTGACAATTCTTACGGGTTGTGGAGTTTTCCGGAACGACTCAGGAATCATTGAGATCAAGAACTCAACTTTCGCAGAGTTCCCTAGCTTTCATTTCCCGAAAAATCACGGGTAGAAGTCCGTGTCTGAAAAACGTCGACTGCTTAACCTTCCTATTTCGCACCAAGAACGAAGGCCTCGATCCAGTCTTACGCGGCTTCTCTGCCGTTCGTGTTGTCAAGAACGTCTGGTGCTTAAGCTCTCTATTTTCACTTTTAACTATCTACAGGGATATCTTGTAGAAAATCCCATACAAATCCTTATAAATCGATATGCAAATTGTGTTCCTTGTGTGGTTCTTATGGAGAGCTTGGGCTGCCTGTGTTGTAAACTTTGATAATAAACAATCAAATCAAAGGATAATAAATTTTTTTTTTTTTTCATAAGAAAGCCGTATTTGCTTATTTTAGCAAATCTCCAAAATAAACGACAGAAGGGAAAAACAGTACGATTCTTCCAGCAATATTTCGCCCACATGTTTCTCTTTAAACATGAAATTTCCAATATCTACAGAGAATCTCGAAAGTTATTTGCATTTCATAGCTTCCTTGATCAACTATCTTGTTGAACGAGCTATAAAATGATGGTTTACTTTCATAAATAACTGTTTACAACTAGAATTACGAGACAGGTGTAGTTGAGAGAAGCTTTCACAGTCGCAGATTTAAAAAAAACTCAAGACAAAAATATGGCAGTGCCCAAATATTTTTTTAATGATTTTCAGAGATGAAATAATGGAATAGAAAGGGGCATTTAAATGAGTGTTGTACCTTTCTGGCAAGGGGAGATATTTGACCTCAAAGTTATCGAATATTTGAGTAAATCGAAAAGTTTTAAATCACACTAATTTATTTACGTCTGTTGATTGATAAGCCGTCAATGAAATCGACTGAAACTTGCATCGTAGATTTATTAAGAATGTACCAATCACGGTATGCAAACCGTCAGAGTAATTTGTAAACTACAGTTGCAGTAAGAGCTTCTTACATTTTAGAGGCAATTTTTCAGCCTAATTCTAGAAAAACCGGGGGGTGGTCTATCTCCCCCCGGAAGTAACTAAAACAAACCATTTTGTCATTTTGAGTTTTGGGGTAGATCCTTTGAACTGGCAAAGTTTCATTAAAATTGGTGAGATGGCATGTATCATGACTGCCTGGTGCTCTCGTGGACGATTATTATAATTGTGTCGGGTTTTCCAAGTAATCGTACTTTACCTGAAAAACTACGAATAAAAGACAAGACAGTGATGACAAATAAATATTTCGCGACCAAA